GGATTCCACCAAAGTCAACCAAGTTTAGTTTAGCCTAGTGTCACACCCCCAAACTGGAACAGTGGAAACGTTCGGGGGCAGAGGACGTCATGTTTAGTATCACAACACATGTATCATAGCAATCATAGTAACAAACAACCATTGCATTTATATTAAAGTGTTTACAAGTAGTGATTCACAAAAGATTGAATCCAAAAGTAAATAACAAAATAAGACATGAAACTACTATACTTCATCTTCTGAATCCCGACGAGCGTACCTGTCTACTAGTTTCCTAAGAATACAAGTTATTTTGAAAGAGTAGATCAACATTTTAGTGGTGTAAAGTAAGTTGAAAGTTCTTTTAGAAAAGTTTTCCAGTTCCTCCAGAAGATCCTATATCTTCCGATATGATGAAAGTTAAGTAAAAATGACTCTATAATCCTTTCTATGAGTACTAATGGATACAAGTTATATAAATCCCAGAGTAAACAAACAATCGGTTGTGTAAATCTGCCCTAAGCCCACAACCAAACAAGGAACAGGAAATGAGGCAAAAGTCACACATCCCATTGTTTATTGGATCTTCGATGTATATAACCCTGGCGTATTCATCTGGTACTCACATAGTTAATTGTAACAGTTCCTTTATATTTGATGAAAACATTCTTTAAGAAAATCCTTATTTCTTTTAGTAAAAATGGTAACCATAATGGTTCCTTATATAATCACTTAGTTTATACTAGCTATATATAATCTAATATCGAACAGATAGGTAATTGTGTGAATTTTCCCTAAGCCCACAACCAAACAAGGAACAGGAAGTAAGGAGCATCTTCGGGAGATTCTTGGAGTATTGAGGACGGAGAGGCTTTACACCAAATTCTCTAAGTGTGATTTCTGGTTACGAGAGGTCCAGTTCCTAGGACACTTCGTCAACCGGAATGGGATTTTGGTCGACCCAGCCAAGATTGAGGTAGTTATGCGATGGGAGGTGCCGAGGTCCCCATCTGAGATCGGGAATTTTATTGGCCTAACAGGCTACTACCGGAGATTTATCATGGATTTCTCCAAGATTGTCGTTCCTCTTACCACATTGACCATGAAGGGTGTTACTTTTGCTTGGGGTCCCGAGCAGCAGGCCTTATTCGAGACTCTTCGCCAGAGATTGTGCGAAGCTCCAGTGTTAGCCCTTCTTGAGGGAGTGGAGGACTTCTTAGTTTACTGTGATGCATCTATATCCGGGATGGGTATTGTGTTGATGTATAGGGGGCATGTGATAGCGTATGCAATGAGGCAGTTGAAGCCTCAAGAGACGAGGTATCCCACCCACGATTTGGAGTTGGGGCGGTGGTGTTTGCCCTCAACATTTGGACCCACTATCTCTATGGTGTCCGGTGCACCATATTGGGGCGGTGGTGTTTGCCCTCAACATTTGGCGCCACTATCTCTATGGTGTCCGGTGCACCATATATACGAACCATAAGAGCTTGAAGTACCTTATGGATCAGCCAAACCTGAATATGAGACATAGGAGGTGGTTGAATGTAGTGAAAGACTACGACTGTGTGATCTTGTATCACCCTGGAAAGGCTAATGTGGTTGTCGATGCCCTGAGTCACAGAGTAGTGAGTGCTCCGATCCAAGACGTATGCATGAGGATGACGGTGATGACTCCAGTATTAGATACCATCCGAGAGGCCCATGTGGTGGCAGTGAGACCAAAGAACTGTAATAGAGCGGGTGATCGGGCATATTTTCGAGTTTGGGATGGATAGTCGAGGGCTTATACTTTCTATGGATGGATTTGGGTGCCTTATACAAGCAAAGCTTGATGTATTTTGATGGATGAGGCTCATAGTTCGAGATTCTTGATCCATCCGAGGGACACCAAGATGTATTTGGATTTGAAAAGAGATTAGTAGTGGCCCTGCATGAAGATAGATGTGGCATGGGTAGTTGAGAGATGCTTAACCTGTCGTCAAGTCAAGGTGGAGCACCAACATCCACATGGTCCGTTGCAGCCTCTAGAGACTCCCCATTGGAAGTGGGAACATATTTCCATGGATTTTATCACCAAATTATTGAGTATTGCGTGAGGTGTTGATGCGATATGGGTGATTGTAGACTGGTTGACGAAGAGTGCTCACTTTCTAGCTATCAATGAGAGCTCTTCTGTGGAGAAATTGGCTGAGATCTACGTGCGATAGGTGGTGGCATAGCATGGAGTGTCGACATTGATAGTGACAGATTGAGATGTGTGCTTTACTTCCAGGTTCTGGATGAATTTCATCAGGAGTTGGGTACCCGGTGGCACTTCAGTACCACATATCACCCATAGACAGACGGACAGAGCGAGCGGATGATTCAGATGCTCGAGGACATGCTATGTGCATGTGTTGTGGACTTCGATGGAGGTTTGGACACTTAATTGCCCTTGGCTGAGTTTTCATACAACAACAGCCACCATACCAATATATGTATGCCTACCTTTGAGCTCCTATATAGGAGGAGGTCTCGGACTCCCATCTGTTGGGGAGAGGTAGGGCAGAGAGTGATGGGGGGCCGCTGAGATAGTGCTCAAGATGACAGAGCAGATCCAACAGGTCAGACAGAGGTTAATGATGGCCCAGAGTCATCAGAAGAGTTATGCCAATCGGCACCATTTAGAGTTAGAGTTTCAGGTCGAAGATTTTGTCCTTCTGAAGGTATCCCCATGGAAATGGGTGATCTGATTCAGGAAACAGGGCAAGTTGGGCCCTAGATACATTGGTACTTTTAGGGTGATCGCTCGAGTGGGTAAGGTAGCTTATAGATTGGAGCTTCTTGCAGAGTTGAGCCAGATTCACAACACTTTCCACGTGTCCTAGCTGATGAGATGGTAGTGGTTCTTTTAGAGGACATTCAGGTTGATGAAATCCTGAACTACATTGAGAGGTCGATAGCGATCTTGGATAGGAAGGTGAAGGTCATAAGGAATAAAGAGGTGCCCCTGGTTCAAGTTCAGTGGCAATATCAGAAGCGATTCGAATGGACTTGGAAGCCGGAGTTCAAGATGCAAGAGCAGTACCCATAGTTGTTTCCAGAGGATGACTTCGAGGGCAAAGTCATATTCTAGTGGGGGAGAATTGTAACATCCCGACTCCCAGGTATAATATTTAATCAAGTTACTTTCATAATTTCAGAGTAACTCGATGAGTTGGATTCCCCAAATCGCCAAGTATAGGAGTTAATTGGTCGTGTGATTTTTAGAGTCTACTCGATGAGTAGGAGGACCCAAACTTGACGAGTAGGTGCTGAGTGAGAAAACCCTAATTTTCAGGGTTTGTGTCCTATTTAAAGGACCTTGAGCCTTCATTTCCGCCTCCCTTGTCACTTAGAACTTTATAAGAAACCCTAATCAAGCTTCATTCATTGTGTATGTGTGTGTGTGTGAGAGTGAGAGAGAGAGAGAGACTAAATTTGGTATTCTTGTGCACTTTTGGAAGAAGGTTGAAGAGGGACTTTTGGATCTAGTGTTCTTCAGTGTTAGCTTTTGTTTGGAGGTAATAAGCTACCACATTGATCATTTCTTTTGTTAGATCTCTTTCTAAGGAGTTTTAGGGCTTTCTCCCATCTATCTTTTGGTTATTGAATCATTTGAGCATGACATGAGATTGAAACATTAGAGTTGGACTGTATGAGGTTCTTTGAGCCCAAAGGTCCAAACTTTATCAAGCTAGTGACAAACCTTCATGCATTAAACCCTATTTAGAGCTTATGATGGCATATGATCCCTAAATGTCATGCATGGACGTAAATCTAGAAGCTTTACGTGGTACTTCAGCTTTGGGAGGCTAGATCTAGAGTTTGAGACCTTATTACTACTTAGAATTGTATGAATGAGAAGTTGTCTAGGGGAACTCGACGAGTCAACTAGGGTTTTCCCTCGATAGATTGTACATGCGACAACTCGGCTAGTTGATGAGACAACTCAACAATTTGAATTAGATTTCCCTTATACTTATGAGAAAATAAAGAAACTCGACGATTCGCGTAAATGCACTCAACGAGTTTAGTCAACATAGACTGTTGACTTGAGCGTTGACTTTCATTGACTTTTAGGGTTTGGTCAACTGTGGACTTTAGAGACCATGGAGGGGTAAAATGGTATTTTCACCCTTTTTGAGATTTAGTGCAAGAGTTAGCTTAACATCTCGGAGTGATTATTACAAATTGCTTATTAGAGATAATTATATTATGTAGGCGGAGTCTAGACTGATCGTGGGTGTACTAGATCTACTTGCTTACTTCTGAGGTGAGTCTTCTCACTATACTTACCTGAGCGGTAATATTGTGTGATCGGGGGGTCTTATTGAGTTATAGACCGGAGGGTCATATGTGCTTATATTGAGTACCGTGATATTATGCATTTTATCTTTATGATATGTGCTATATTATTTTGTGCTTTATTGAATTAGGATCGGAGGATCCAAACCGAGTTGTAAGACTGTAAGGTCTTCAATGAGGTGTAGGATTGGAGGGTCCAACCCGAGTTGTGAAACCGGAGGGTCCTCACTGAGACATATGACCGAAGGGTCCACACCGAGCCATGAGACCGGATGGTCCGCACCAATCCGTGAGACCGGAGGGTCCTCACTGAGATGCATGAGGTCGGAGGGTCCATGCCGAGTTACAACCATGAGAAGCTTATTATTTGTGCATGTGGTATTTTAGGGAACTCACTAAGCTTTGTGTTTACTGTGTTGTGTGTTATGTGTTTCAGGTACTTTTCAAGACCGCGGGAAAGCGCCGACTTGATTGTACACACATGTTTGAGACTATGTCGAGGATTCTGGGATTTATCAGTTGTTTTGTTGAATTGTGTTTTTGACATTTGATACATTGTGGTTTTGAGAAAATGTGATACTTATTTTATGTGATTTAAAAATGAAAATTTTGGTTGAAAATTTTGGTGTGTTACGATTATCATTTCTCTCTTCCTCTTCGCCACATAATCTATTTAGAAAGTCATCACACTTTTAACTATTCATAGTGACTATGTCCTCATTAAAGTCCACATCCACATCTGTTAGGCTATCAATTTCGTCATTATTCTCACCACCCTTAATGCATGAATCATCTCCATCCTCATCTTCTACGTTAGATCCAAACCAATCTTTTATTCCTTAACCATCATGGTCCATATACATACAAATTTTACCATCTGTCCCATATGCTTGAAAAATGAAACCACCATAGTCTTCATCATTAGTAATAGCAGTTATTCCAGATATTAAGGGTTTACCTGGTTCACAGTAGTATAACTTCTTTATACTTTCTTGCATGAACCGTTCGAGAAAGGTGATACATTCATCGTATGTCATTCCAGAAAAATCGTGATCATTGAAAGTGAAATTGATACCATGGTTATACGAGAAATGATTTCTTAGAAAAACACCTTTGAAGTTCAAATCAATTATAGGGTAGAGTCCATTAGGGTTTGGCATCGAGTTAGACATTGTGGGTTGGTTGACTGCTCACTGACTTCGATCGGAGAAAAAGACTTCGAACCCTAGGTTTAGTGCTTCATAATCATTGTGAGATGAGAAAAATGAAGAACGAAGGAGTGTAGTTGTAGCTAAATAAATATGTTTATTTTGACTTCTAAATCTTATGTGGATAAAATAAATGAAATATATAATGTAAACTTATTCCACGTAAGCAATACTACCGGTTGTTGCATTTACCGGGTACATAAGGAGTAATTAGCCGGTATTTACTAACATTAATGATCAATTGAGGGAAAAAAAAACTTTAGTGATTAAATGTGCAAATTGAACAAATATTAATTTGCTATAGCGTCAAAAACTCATTTCTTAATCTTTTGAAACCTTCACACTTATATTGTAAAATCATCTCCGAAAGTCTTAATGAACTCATGAATATGCAACGTCAATGTAAAAGCTTTTATTTTATTATTATATAATTTTGATTTTTTGGTCGTATTTTTATAAATTAACTAAATTTATTACATATATATTAATAATAAAAATTAAAATTAAAAGAGAAAATAGGATATGATCTTTTCTCTAAATGAAAAGAGAAAACCAAAAGAAATATACAAGAGTAACGTAATCTTGAAAAATGACGCTTAAATAGTATGGAAAATAAAAAAATAAAAAAAGGTGGGAAATGAGATGTTCCACCCCATAGTTTTACCGTATAAATCTAACACTGTGTTCTTTTCTTTTGTTTTTTTAAAAACAAAAAGATAAAAGTGTATAAAAAAATCAAAATTGGGTGCTTCCTAGCTGTCTCAGTGTCCCCAAATCCTTAAAAGCCCTCGTACGCCACGTGTAATTTGTGTATATTTATAAAGGGAACAGTACGAATAAATCATAGTAAATTAAATCATAAATTCAAATATTATATAGATAGCCCTTTTATTTATTTCTTCTTTTTTATTTATATCCTTTTCACTCTGTAAAGTTATTTATAGTCCTTGTATTATATTTGAGATTCAAAATAAAATAAAGATCTTGATATTCATCTTCAGTCACATAATTCACATTTGTGGCTCTAACCTTCCGGTGTACCGGCGCGACGAATCAGTCTATGCAATATTCAGGAATTCTTGACGATATCGAGTTGGAACAACCTGTTCTTCCTAGATACCCTGATTCAAGGCCAAAGAATTTCCTACCGCTACCATATAGTATTCATCTCTGCCCGATGATAAATAAAGCATTCACACCCTTTTTGATCTCTCATAAATTTTATAAAATGGATTTTCTAGAAACCCCCAACAACCAATCCTGACATGAATTGCTAATGATCCAATAAGTCCAATATTGATTATGTAGCGTAGCCCGTTCCTTTCACCTCTACCACCTTCCCCACCACCAAAATCGCTACCGCCACCACCACCTCTGCCACCAGTCGACCTCACCACTGTCACCTTCATTACTTATATCATCATCACATCTGCCACCACTACCTCTTCTGCCACAAATTGTTCTAATCATATATATGATTACTCACTTTGTGAACAGACATATATGTATAATCATTTATAATTAGACATATACGTATAAACAAGTATAATCACATATGATTTTTGCTCTCTGCCAAATAATCATTTATGATTAGGCATACCCGCTCTCTGCCGGTACACTGGAACGTTAAAGCAAAAAATGATATATATATATATATATATATATATATGTGTGTGTGTGTGTGTGTGTGTGTGTGTGACAGATCATATTTTATAAGACTATAAGACCGTTTTTTTAGTGAAATATTATACTATTCTAGTTTTTATAAAAATATAGTATATGCAATGTTCTCAACTTTAAAGTTTTAGAATATTACAATGTAAACGTTAAAAATATTGTTTTAGAATATTATACATATTACATTTATATTAATACCAAAATATAAAAATATTTCAATAGAAATAAATAACTCAATGGTTTCACAAATAAAACCCATCTCACAAATAAAACTTGTCTCACATTAACCTTTACATATATCAAAATATTTAAGTAGAAAAAATGTTTGTTTCATGTTCGTGAAGTGTTGAAAACTTGAAGCTGTATCATGTCATGTTCATGTCAAGATTTGATACGAAATTGACATGATAATTAAATGTATTTATCATGTTTACATGTTTGTCTTGTTTGTAAGATTAATTTTGAATTAAATAAATAGTGTTTATTTTCATTTATATGTTTTGTGTTCTTCGTGTTGATCGTTTTTATCGTGTTTTAACTGAATTGTTTTTGTGTTAGTGTAAATAAAAAACTTGATATTATATAATGTATGTATTATATAAAAATTATCTTATCGTATCGTGTCCATTAAAAACACGATATGACCATCTAATCTGACACCCTACATATTTTCTCAATTAACAAAGTCATTATATTAGTTCTAAACAAAATACACCATAAACACAAAACTAAAATACTCATCATCGTCCAAAAATAATAAGAAAAAGGGTTAGTTGACATTTTTCCAAAATATTGTTTTTATAAGTTCAATGTACTCTAATTTTCAAGATATATTTTAACACATTAAGTTGGTATAAGGCCATCTGTTAGGTCGTCTGGTATGCTTAGCATGGAGGCGATCGTGCTATACGTAGCCACGAACCACGGTCGTGCACACCATTCCGGTGTGTCATGTTCGTGGTGGTTCGTGAAGCCAACCATGAATTACAACGGAGGGTCTCTCTCTCAACCTTCTTCTTATCTCTCTCTCTCTCTATCTCTCTCTCTCTCTTCGTTCTTCTATTTCTGGTTGTGATACGTAATCCGGTGGTGGTTTGTGGCTAATCTGGAAGCTCTCCTTAGTTGTTCTTGTAGAAAGTATAACGGATGGTCTTATACTCACCACTAACCACTATAGCGGTGAGTGTCAACTCATCACTATATTCAAACACCATAATGTTAGGATACCTACCACTATATCCTTTTTATTTTATTATTATTAAAATAAAAAATATTTTTTAATTAATTATTATGTAGAGAGAGAGATAGAGAGATAAAGAGAAAAAAACGCATTAGATGTGGTGGTTCGTCCTCCCCACCACAATTTATCACGAATTCTTCCACTACTAAGGATATGGAGTGGTGTTCATAAGACCATCTCCAACCTATCTCCATTTTTTCTCCCATAAATGGAGTAAAAAATGGAGTAAACAGTGTTTCATCTCCATTTTCTACCCCATTTTTTACTCCAAAAAGTATATTTTTGGAATATTCCATTTTTATAACTTATATATATTGTCAAATGCACCCCTCTACTAATTAAACTTTATATTTATGATTAATTAATATAAATTAGTATACAACATAATATTATAAATATTAAATATTGCATTTAAATTATAATTAGTAGATAAAATAAACTAGAAATGTATAAAATAAAAATAAGAGGGATTAAAATTGACAACCAAACTTCACCTCCATTTTTGGAGATATGAATAGTATTCCCCCATATATGGGGAAATACTATTCATATCTCTAAAAATGGGGGTGGAAATGGGGTAGGGTTGGAGAAGAATAGGAGGAGAAATAGGAAAAGAAATGGAGTATAAGGGTGGGTTAGAGATGCCCTAACTGACTAATTGTGGTGGCTACATAGACTGCAAATATTTTCGTTATAAGTACACCGGTTAGTCTAAGAATTAAACAAAGAACATGTAGTTAGAACTTTAGAGAATAATAAGTAAATTTTGAAACTTTCGATAAAAGAGTAAATTACACGAATGGTCCCTATGGTTTAGGGTAATTTGCGTGTTTGGTCCCTAACTTATTGTTTTAACTCGAAAGGTCCTACAGTTTGTTTTTGTTATGCGCTTGGTCCCTGTCTTACCTAAAAAGACTATTTTACCCTTAATTTTTTAATTTATTTAAATAAACACACCCCCACCTCCATCCCCTCACCTTATCTTACATACCCTACAATTTTTCCCTATTTAAATAATAGTCTTTTTAGGTAAGATAGAGACCAAGCGCGTAATAAAAGCAAACAGTAGGGACCAAGTGCGTAACGAAAACAAACAGTAAGATCTTTCCGAGTTAAAAAAATAAGTTAGGGACCAAACTTGCAAATTACCCCAAACCATAGGGACTATTCGTGTAATTTGCTCTCGATAAAATTGAAAGGGTGTGAATCGAAAATATAAATATATTAAGAATATTAATATTTTATTCATGACTGATGGTGGTATGAGAGTCCGTGGATTTAAGTTTTCTTTCTTGCATTTAAAATTACCCTATATATAATGTCTCCCCCTTTCAAAATTACGTACCATCGCTCTCTGATTGATTTTCTGTGTATAATTGAGGAGAGAGATCCTTTGATTTCACTCTAAATTTGGATCTAGGGCCTTCAATTAAGGTACTTCCCCTCAAAATATTATTATTATTGTTCAGAGATGAATTTGTTATTATGATTTTCGTATAATCGTGTCTGAATTCATCTATACGTTGCTGTTTCTTAAGATTTAGGTTCAGTTCTACTCAATTTTGTGTTGATTTCTCGCTAAGCTTCTGTTTAATCATTCATTACTTTGTATACACTAATTGTTTGACATTTTTTGCTTTGTTTTGTGGTTAACAGCTAGCAATTTAAGTTCAATTTTATTCTATACTTCTACACTTTTCGAATATTCTATACGTGTTTTGGTTTGATTTCTTTGTTTTGGCATTTTAAAGTTTTCAACTCACCGTGTTGAACAATGCCACCTATACTTGGTTACTTTTGCTTCATCTACAAACAATTATGGCATTTGCTTTGTGATTAAATTTAGCTCACATCCTTCGGTTTTAGTTTATATAAATGAAGTATAATCGATGAGATGCAATAATCTAATCAGCTCGATCTATTTTGTTTTCAGGATTTCATCATCGAACAGAGATTTGAATTACAAATCAACATAAATTTTGTTTATGTTTACTTGGAAATTAAAGTTGTAATGGAACATCGTCCTCCTATTGACGAAGATTTTCTTGTTGATCTCGAGAGTGGTACCATTGAAGAACGAATCCCTAATCCCCAATCTGATGAAAATCTAGCAAGAAACGATTTTATTTCCACCAGATTATGTGACCAATTGAATGTCGATCCATTAAATGTGAAGGTGGCAATCGACTCAAAGATAGAAGGAGATTCGACAATGAAGAAAATGGGGAAAGAGAAACGTAAAAAGTCGTGTTCAAGTGCTAAAAAACCACCTAAACCACCACGTCCACCTAGAGGCTTTTCTTTAGATGCTGCTGATCAGAAGCTTATCAAAGAGCTTGCTGAACTTGCCATGATGAAAAGGGCAAGAATCGAGAGGATGAAAGCACTCAAGCACAAGAAAGCATTAAAAGCTTCATCTTCATCATCAATCAGTGGTAGCTTGTTTGCCATGATCTTTACAATCATCTTCTTCCTAATGATATTCCACCAAGGTAATAAATTACACCTTAATTGTTATCATTATCTCTCTTTCTATCTTCATACTTCACCATTAATTTAAAAAAAAAAAAAAAAACACCAGGAATATCTTATTGTTTTTATATATTTCCATTAAGATAAAACTTTACATTATGTTTTTTCAGGAATGTCATGCCAAAATTCAAGTGTAACTTCTCAGGGTTCTCCTCAAACAGCTCAAACAAACGAAAATGGTTTAGTATTTACACAAGAACAACTCAATCCATCTGCTAGTGATTCCATTCTACCCGATTCTAAATCTTCAAGGTACGCAAACCATTTTATATTTTCTTAGTGATATAAATATATGCTTGTTATTGGAAGGAAATTTTTTTAAAAAAAATTCTTGGTATTTTGCAGTTTTTTTCAAAAGATTCCAGGTTCAGGTTTTGTTAGCAGGAAAGTACTGTCGTCTGGTGTTAAGCAAGACAAGACAAAACAAAATAGTAGCTAAATAAAAAAAAAAAACAAAAAGTTAACCTCCCTCCATGTGGCAATGCCTGTGACAACAATGTTGTACCATGTGTATAGTAACGCGTTATTTGTTACGCGGCATATGACATGAAAGAACAGAACAGTTGGACTGAGAATGACACTGATATCAGTAGCAAAAATTATGTTTTTTATGGCACCCAAAAAGGTGCAACATGGACTCCTTCCGGTCTATGTTTTGTGGAAAAAGACGTTAATGCCCTCCTCATCGTCAAAAATTAGCAAAAAGCTTGTTCGGTTTCATCTGGTCAGTACTACGTTCTAGTCGGTTCTGTCAAATATTGTATGTGTAACAAATGTAGTTTAAAGGATAGTTTTTGTACTTATTCTAATTGTGCTACTAGAACAGGGTTTTTATTTATTTATTTATTATTATATAGAGATGAGAAATCGGCAATTTAGCTGGAGTTGAGTTAGGTTTTTTTGTTTTGTAATTAACAAGTTAAATAATATGTATTGTAGTCAACAAAAATCGAGATCTGATATCTATGTAAATCAGTTGAGTTCAATTTTTAATATCCCACTTATAAGATTCAGATTTGCTTCTTAATTATTTGCTTAGTGATGCATCAAAACATGTGTGAGAGTTTATGAGTGATTGTGAGAGAGATAGGTTTGTTTTTCTTAAAAAGACAATTATACCCTTCTTTTCTTGTTTTTTTTTTTGAAAGAGCAACACATTGGCTCGAAGGGTGTTTTGGGGAATTATTTTTAGACAAATAGTTACATGATGCTATATTCATGACTATGGAGAAGTCTATTTCATGTAAAATGACAACTACACCCTTTGTCTCTTTTCCCTTTTAGGAAAAAATGTTTTTTTTAACTTTACTTATTTTTTTTTTATCATCATCGTTATAAATAATTGATGTTGCCAATATTATTTTCAGCCAAAGGGATTTTTTTGCATCTGGACAAATTGGTACAAGGAAGTATGTGGTTCTTAAGACATGCATGTGCATATGGATGAGCATTCATAGATATAATCGAGGATTTTAGTATGATATTTTGCATAATTTGGGTATGGACTTATTTTGGATAGACTTTGAATAATTGAGCAGTGATGCAAAATTACATTTATACCCTTCATCCTCAACGGACGACTAACATACTCATTCATGTTGCCCATACGTATCCGATTAAAGATATGTTGACTAACATACTCATTCATGTCGCCCATACGTATCTGATTAAAGATATGTTGCCCATACGTATCTGATTAAAGATATTGCATTCATTAGATACTAATTTCACAAGTATGGTTTCTTTTGGTAAAGATAATTAAGAATCAGTTTGTTACCTAAGACATGACATGATAGAAAAAAAAAAAAAAAGCATGTTCTGCGTTCAATATTGTATTGGACTTGAACTAAAACATGTATTAATCGGACAAAAATGTTATTTTTTTTGTCACATCCAAAAAAGGATAGAACAAGATGGGAGACTGACATTTTGCCGATCTCTTGTATATGTAAAAGGCATTCATCCGCTTCTCATCATCATCATCAAAAGTAACTCGTGTAAGTATATAGAGTCATCTTTGGTTCGGTCTCGTCAGTATAACACAAGCAAAACGAGGACTTAACATTATTATTTTCAAAATAATTAATATACAAAGATAGCAAATAAATATTTGATAAACTATATATTGTGGTATAATTGACCCTCATGGACCTTCCGAGACCTAGGCATGGCATGGGATACCCCACCCCCCACACCCCCTCCGAAACAACCTGGGTGACCAGAGGCCATATGGTGATGTTGGGTTATAATTCATTCATATTTGGAATTGGATCAAATACATGTGAATCAGATCCATAAACTAAGCAATAATACCATTTTCACTTGCTTTTCCCTTTGACCTTCTCGACCTTTTTCTTTCATGTGCCTTCTAATAATATATATAGTAATAGCCTACAAGTCAAAGACTTTGTAGCAAATAACTCTTTTAATTATTATACTTATAGTTTCTTTATATATAGATCATCATATTTCTTAAAATACAAAAAGAGCATAAACAACAAAACGTACCTTGTTTTGACGGATTCTTTTCTAACAATTTTCAATGTTATACGATAACTATATAGTGACTTGAATTGGTGTATTTTAGTATTTTCTATTAATTGTATGTTTAATAAGTTCGGTGATTAGTTTCTAATCAATTCCACACACAGTGATAATCTTGGTAATTCGAGAAAAAAGAAATCCATATTCTTGAGTGTTTTATTATCAAATTTAGTGGATTTTTTCGTACTCCATAAGAGCAAATGCCTTCCGAAATAATATCCCTGAGTGCTTTTTTTGTCTACTTGAATCAAATTTTGAGTGTTTTATAATCAAATTTAGTTGATTTTTGCCTACTCCATAAGAGCGAATGCATTCCGAAATAATATCCTTGATTGCTTTTTTGTCTACTTGAAACAAAATTTGAGTACAAAGAGAATTGTAATACGATACTCAACTACAAGATATAGACAATGATCTTTATTTCAAGATTGTATCCATATTACATCATGTATCGTGTTGGCATTGATAGTGAATACATTGGTTTCATTAATCACTTTTTTATTGCGTAGATTCCCTTCTTCATCTTTAGTGGTTCGATCATATACAATATGCCAAACCAAGATTCTAGTTCGGTTATTCGGAATGATCCTTTGTGGTTCGGCTATCCCGGACCGAGCGGGAACTATTCTCCAAGGAGGATACTTGAGTGATTGGTCATGTACACACATTGAGCCTATTATGAGTCAACTAATTATCGAGTAAACACATTGATCTCATTATAAAAATATGTATCAATCACAAGTTTTGTAAAGTGTTTTGTCGTCTGGTAGTTACATGTTTTGGATCTTCATCTTCATCTTTGCTATTTATAGTGGTGGACTAAGTTGTTGAATAAATTTAGATTTTAAATCATCATGTATGGTAATTGATGTGGACGGAAATATTTAACCCTTTGTTTTGGAGTGTCTTTAAGTGTGATCAGAAACACTTGTATCGTTACCACATATTTTGTAACTCCGAAGTAGTTGGTAGTTTCGATCGCTTCGCCAACATGCTTATGCACGTTTTCATCGGAAAAATATGTTTCTTTCAATAATCAAAGGAATTGACCCTTGAGCCCGAAATTTGTAGTCGCTGATAGTGATGGTAGAACTAGTCCTTGTCCAATCCCATCTCTCGTATGACTTGTGTATTATTATAACAATGGATTAGCAGTATCTGTCATCCTTCCGTCTTCGCCTTCTTCTTCGTTGCTATCTTCTATTTTGTTGTCTTTGTTGTTTTGTGAAATTCTTGCTCGAGCTTGTTGAATAGAAGTATTACTTTAGAAGTGAATCATCGGGACATAAACTAACAGCAAAACAAACATAAACCATAACAAAAATAAATAAATAAAGCAGCTTGTTTTCGCCCAAAAAACGTCGCGTAACAGAGTCGAACACAACTTGTTTGCCGACGAAACAAAATATTAACTTTTCACGACAAAAGCCACAAAAAGAATCGAATAATGAACAATAATCTAAAGAAATTAAGTTGTTTCCTACTAACGACGCTAAAAACTTGATATGTGAATTCATCAATAACTTATAAATTTATTAATTAGTTTATCACAACCGGGCTGTTACATTAGGCAGTATACATAATCATGTAATAATATAGCTAAGATACGTTAGGTATCGAACACTCGAGGAACATATATGATTTGTGTTTAGAAAATTAAAACTATTAATTAAATTAAAAAACAAATAATAAAAGATAGCCTGTTTAAATCCAATTAAAAATGGTTGAAACTAACAACCATTAACTAAAGTTTGATTAAACAACAACAACAACAATAATAATAATAATAATAATAATAATAATAATAATAATAATAATAATAATGAGAAATTAAAACTGAAAAATTCAACGATATGAAACTTCTAAAGTAAATAAGTGAAATTTCTAGTTCGGTCTTGATTTTAGTCAATAGCCGAATCGTTTAAAAAAACTAATTTATGGAAAATAATATTTTTCTTAAAAATTGATGTTTAAGTTTTAAATAAATATGTTTTCTACAAATTTTTAGTAGAATAAATGATTTTTTTTTTTGAAAAAATAAAACGAAATAAAGATTTTTCAAATAAATCAGTAAAGTTATAATAATTTTTGAAAAGGAAAATAGACTTATTAAGATAATTGATTTTTTGGGTTGTTCATATTTATCTAACTATTTTTTTTTTTTGTAAACATTTACGTAACAAACTTTTTGAAAGTGCTCGCATATAACCATTATGACCGGTTGTAATAGGTTACATCTGATCATAATGATCATATGTGAATACTTTCAAAAAATTCATTACTTAGATGTGTATAAAATAAAATAGTAAACAAAATGTGAATAAACCGAAAAAGTAAGAGTAAATTACATGAATGGTTCTTGTGGTTTGAGTAATTTGTACGTTTGGTCCATAACTTATTTTTTTAACTCGGATGATCCATACTATTTATTTTGGTTGTACGTTTGGTCCATGTTTTATCTCAAAAGACTATTGTGCCATTTTTATTTTATTTATCAAATGAGGTTTCAAGTTTAGGGTGAGAAAATAAAGATATGTGGGGTCTATTTTTTTTAATATATAAAAAGTAAATACATAAGTAATAAAATTATATAAAAAAATAAATTAAAAAGGGTACAATAGTATTTGAGATAAAAGAGGGACCAAAGACATAATAAAAATAAACAGTAGGGGATCATTCGAGTTAAAAAAAAGTTATAGAGCAAACACACAAATTACTCAAACCGTAGGGACCATTCGTGTAATTTACTCTCAGGGAACTATATTTTTTTGACACATTTATGTAAAGAGTTTTTTAAAAGTGTTCACATATAATCATTTAATTGGATGTAACCTACTACAGTCAGTCATAATAATCATATATAATACTTTCAAAAAATTCGTTATATATATATATATATATATATATATATATATATATATATATATATATATATATATATATATATATATATAAAACAGACCTTAACAAATCATTTCCTTTTTGAAAATGTTCCCGATAAACAAATATGAAAATTTGTTCTACTTTGTAAAATTCAAAGTTTAGACTTTGTGTAAAAAGGAATGTTAAATTTTACAAGGCAAATATGGGCTCTTACTATAAACGGCCCAAAAGTGATGTTACTGAATATTGCTTTATCACTTATCAGGTTAAGGATGCAAAATGACAACATTACCCCTTTGTTGGTACGTCAAAGCAAGAGATGATTTCGATGAAAACCCTAGGCTCAATCACGCGCGAAACACGTGAGCCCGTAGTACAGAGGCGCCGCAAGGTTAACGGTTCATATTAGCCGTTGGATGAAGTTCCACGTCATTAATCCGCGTCAAGCAAACATTCAACGGTCCAGATTACGCGTTGCGTGTAGCTACTCTGAAGAACGAAGAACCCCCTCTAGTCTCCATCTCTCTCTCTCTCATCACCGTCTATTCCCCCCCAATTCTGACAAAAATTTTGCTGTGAATTTTCGGCAAACATGAAGATGTTGATCGAAGAAGAGTTCGAGTTCGAAGGTGAGAACAAGGTTGAAGAAATCGTTGTGGATGATACCGAAGAAATTGATAGTGAAGTTGAAGTTGAAGAAGACGACGGCGAGGACGACGACGAAGATGATGATGACGCCGACGAAGAGGAGGAGGAAGAAGACGACGATGATGTGCAGGAGGTTTTCCAAAGCTCCGGTAGTGGTCCAGCGGCTCAGCCGGTAGAAGCCGACGATGATGACGAGGATGACGACGAAGAGGATGAAGACGATGATGGAGACGACGACGATGACGATGACGGTGAAGACAGCGACGACGACGATGACGACGAGGAAGGTGAACAAGAGGAGGTAATATTTATCGTCACTTTGACTATTTTGTTTGAATTGGTTAGCTTATTACTTTGTGTAAATCATATCTTAGTTGATAGTTCCGTGAAAATTGTAGCTCAGATCTGATGATTATTTGCCTGTATCTGCAATCTAGCGTATAGACAAATTACCTTTTTAAATTTTTTATAATTCGAGTTTAATTATTATTTCTGTCAGTTGTTACTACGAGTCAAAAACCTCACTTTATCTCTATGTTTCTTGTGGTTTTTATCAATTTATCTTCCAAAAATTACACAGATCCATTTTTTTTTTTTTTTTGCCAGTGATAGATCTGTTCATATTGATATTATTTTACTGACGTTCTTTAAATATTATCTAAATTTGCTTTCATGCTACATTTCAAGCAATCTTGTTGTAAATTTGCTTTGTTTTCTGTAATAAAATTTCAGATCTGATTATTTTCTGTCAAAACCGTTTGTGATTTTGACTGTTTCAGTTTTTTTACCCTGACTGTATACGTCATGATTGATTTGTAATGATTCCGTTCATGTAGGAAACAATATAATTTCCAATATGTGTTTCTGTTTTGGGGTTCAGTTTCTTACAGGTTTTTGGCATGAAACTTATCAAATTGTACATGTCCACTTTTATGTTATCGATATTTAGATATTTGTGTAAATTTTACATTTTTACCAATTTAACAGTAGTTTATGCAACTGACACAAGTTATTCAACCTGGTTTACAGGAGGATATGGGGACCGAATACTTGGTTCGACCCGTGGCTAACCCGGAAGACGAAGAAGATGCAAGTGATTTTGAACCCGAAGAAAATGGAGCGGAAGAAGATGAATTTGAAGAAGAAGAAGATGAAGATGAACAAGGTGGAAAAACGGAAGCCCCACCTAAGCGAAAAAGGTCAACCAAAGATGATGATGAATCTGATGATGGTGATGATGGTGATGACGATGATGATGATGATAGACCATCCAAGAGATAGTTTGGTGTCTTGGGATCTATGATGATGATGATCATGGATACATAGGTCCATCTCTTTCTCTCTCTATCTCTCTAGGGTTTATGTTAAAAACTTTATATTATGGTTGGTGGATCATCTTGTTTACTACCATATATTTTCATGTAACTTTTCCATGGTGCAGTTATATCTATCAGGGTTTGCATAGTGTCACAATGGGGTTATTTTTAGGAACAAAAAAACAAAAGAAAAGTTTGCTACTTTTTTTTTTTTTTTTTTAATGTTTAATTTTATGTAACTTTTAGATGATTTAGGACACTCGTATGTTTTCCTTGATGTGTATCGTTGGATAATGTTTAGTGTTTTTCTCACATTTTAGCAATGACTTTCTTTGTTCATCTTATTTGTATTATTATTCTCGATCTAATTTTGTTGCGATTTTTATATTTTCACATCTACACATGTTTGGATAAAGTGTTTAAGAACATTTAGAAAAATGGAAGTTTTTGGATAGATCTCATCGAATAAAGTATTGAGGGTTTGTTTTTTACTTTTAACGTTTGATACAATTACATTTGATGAAGAAATGAGTAAAAAAGAAATTTTGAAAAAATGAAGGAGTAAATTCGAATTCGTGCTTAGTATATAGACCGTTTTCGTAAATTTTATTTTACAAAGAAGCAAAACAATTGCAAAATTAGAAGTACCTTTTTAATACAAAAATCTCATATACAAAAAGAAATTTGGGTTAAAAAAAAAGCCTAAAAATCGCTTCAATGTAGGAAAATGAGAATTTACAGTTTTGCCCTTTGGATACCGAAAGCCAATTTTGATTGTATGGTAATTCGACATCCCACGTTATCAATGAATCGATAGCCCTTCACTAACGCAACGCGTCATTGACTTAATCACGCGTTCTTTCCATTTTGCTTTATTTATTTAAGTTTTAAACGAATTATTTTTGTTTTGTATTTTTCTATTTGATGGCTTTTTATTATTATTTCTACTGACATTTTTTTTGTTTTTGTCGGCAGGGAAAAAGGCTTGTGTTATTTAAAGATATGAACATGTTTATTTCTTCGTTAACGATTTAACGAAAACATTAGGGTTTTTAACGAAAATTAGTGGACGTCGACAGAATAGTGTATTATTACAGATGATGTATTTGTTTCCCAAAGTTGCACATTTTATTTTTAGGATGACATGTAAAGAATTACATTAGTTTTGTTTGTGAAAGCTAGAGAAGAAAATTTAGGAATGTAACAATTTTCATTTTGTTCATAAATATCATAAAATATTTTTCTTTCGTATATTATATTATTAAAGTTTTTAAACTTTATAAAAAACATTATTATTACTGGTAATAAGAGATTTGTTGATCTGGAAATCTCTCTCTCTCATATAATATGTATATATTAAAATAATAAAAATAAAACATATACTTTAAAATCAAACATATACATAAAACATATCTTCTGCCACCAATCGCCACCGACACCACCACCTTTGCCACCATCTCTAGTCTTCTGACATCTCTTCCGCCACCAATCTGCCACCGCAACCACCACCATCAACTCCGCGAACAAATTTGTTAACACGAAGAACCGACTCTTTCTTCCGCCTTTTGAATCTCCTCCCCAATATGCAACACAAGCTATGTGTTGTGCTCTTCTACAATCATGTTTGGCTTGTTGAAAGTCCATCTAAAGGACTAATAAAAGTCGCCTATAAATAATCAATGTGGTATCAACTACTCTATATAATCAATCAAATAAACGTTAATTTCATTAGAAGTTCAAAAGAAAAAAAAATTAATGAAATAAAATAAAATTAACCCACTATCATCATTATTAACAAAAAATGACAAGAATTTTGCTCAACTACCACATGTTAGCAATCAAACGTGATATGCGGAAGGACCAGGATGAAATAAAAACATATACGGATATATCTCATGTTAGTTAGCTTCTCTCTCAGTTGGTTATATCAAAATGTAATCTTAGTCAATGCATTGTTAATGATCCACATATCGTTGTTTGAGTTGATGAATCAGGTGTGGGTCCTTAATGAATGATTGGAGAGGAGGAAGAAGATGCTACACAATTCAGAAAAGTGATGAAAGTTTATGGTTTAGAATGCTTTTTTCATGGAGGTTCTTAGGGTTTAGATTTTTCATTTTTCATTTATTGTTGTAAAGCATAGTTAGTTTATATAAATGATGTCTAGATAAATTAAGTGTTTTTTTTTTTTTTTTTAAATATTATTGTTTACAAACATAAAATCAAACACAACATTGAGTGTTTACCTCAGATTCGGAAAACCCTAATTTTCGTCTTGAATCTCTTTTTGAACTCATGTGAAAATACGAGGTGAGGAAGCGTCTGTGTCTATAGTTGAGATTTTTTTAACCAAAGATTTGAAGAACTCTTCTTCAAATCATAGTTGATATGGTGGCTAAATGAAGGAGAATGAAAGAGATTTGTTTGTATTGCAGGTGTTAAAGAAAGTGGGAAAGAGATCGACAATGAAGAAGGTAAATTGTCAATGTGAGATAAAATATCGGTGTCTATGTGGCAAGCCACGTAAGCATTTAGCATCATTCAGCTAACATGACAAGCCATGTAAGCCAGTTGGCCTACCCGAGATAAAAGGTAGCCAAGTTTTTGAAACCACGAAGACCAAGTGCTACACCTATTTTGGGAAACCAAACCACATGGATACATCCCGATCCCGTATTTTTGTTATAATAAAAACACAAAATGTTTGACATTGTCCATTTTGTCACAGGAAAACAAAATGCATAAGTATACAAAACTTCTTCAAAATCACATCTTGGTCCTAAAAACATACATAAGCTTTCATTAAAATATCCAAAAATTGAAATACATCGTCCACACTTCTTTTTGTAACTTCATTTGTCAAGCAACATCACCAGTAACCAAACTTGCTTTGTGTAATCCAGTCAGAATTATTTAAAAGATATGCACGATATCATAAGCAAATCTTTTATCATGTCAAGGTAATCATAGATGGTTTTTAAAAAAAAACATATACAAGAATGCTAAAAAGAAACAGGTCAAACACTTCCAAAGTTATCCAAATGTTTTACAACCTCCTAGCTTGATTTGATTAAAAAAATTTTTGGATAATTATCTACAAAATTCAAGAATTTGGACAAAAAACGAGGAGTTGTATTTTTTTTTTTTTTTTTTTCTCATTATATGTATTTTTATAATCATGTAAATGATATATAAGAGTATTTTGGGAAAATGACAAACACTCGTATATAGCATATCAGATTATTTACTCATCCCCCCTATTAGGTCAAAATTTTAAACTATTCTTGCCTGATTGAGAACTTTTTATAAACACAATTATGTTTATCGAAACAAAAAACATATATTCTCTTCATACTTATCATGTACTTCAAAAAATAGATTTTTATGGGGAGTATAATATAAAGAAAGCATAAATAAAAGGATACGTCCAGAACAGCACGAAAGACTGCAAAAAGAGATTGTTTGCCGGTTAATATACAATCCAATTGACATGACATGATGAGAGGGTGACAAAAACTGCAAACTTTTGTCCCACTCAAAAAAGATGGGACAGGGACTTCCTATCGCTATCGAAATCTTATATGTGGAAAAGACATAAATGCCCTCGACACCCTGATCATCAAAATATAGCTTGTCCGGTATAACAAGAAATCCAAAAAGAAACAAAGAAGGATATGAGAAAAATTACCAAAAGGCCGCCTAGAAAGCCGTCGAGTAGGACCCGATTCCAGGTGTCAAAATATGTGTGGATAGAGAAACCAGCCTTGGCTGTTAGACAAAGGGAGGTTAGAGCCATGACAAGTAAATAGATGACAAATCCCATGAGGCCTGTGAACCCTAAAATTCCAGCAATCACTCCACCAATGATTGACATGAATGTCCGACTGCATCATTTCATAAATATCATAAATCCATCAACCAAAAAAAAAAAAAATCTCAATACTTTATTTATATATGACAAACACAAAAAAGTAAGCAATTTTGTCATGTAAAAATCAAATATATGAAATATAGGCATTGTATTTTCAATTTGTTTCTTATTAGAACATTAGACTCTGAAAGATTTACCAACGAAAATTGCTTTGTATATGGATGAAAGTGTTATGATTAGGTAGATTTTTCAATTTGTTTCTTATTAAACAAAATAAATGAAAATATGTTGCTATTTATGTGCAATATCCATTAATCCAAGAAACGACAATTCCTTCATTTGAAGGATCCGGAATTCAATTCCGTCCTCTTCATTGCAGCTAAACAAGCCCTGGAATGGAATGATAGGCCCAAGGACGTCCATGTCTACAAAAGGGGAAGGAACAAACCTCATCAGCCCACTCCATCTTAGTCCTTTTCTGCAGCCCAAGCTTGTTTATCATTTCTTTTTGTTTTGTCGGTTAGTTTGTGGTCCCCGTCGTGGTTATGCCCCTTCCACCACGTTTTTGTCTGTGGGGATCCTTCTAGTGGGGAGCAGGGTCTGTGTTTTATCCTATTTTGTCTCCAGTTGTCTTATATATAGTCCTGGAGGATCTTTTGTTTTGGTATGTTGAAATCAATGAAACAGTTCTTATGAACTTGGGAGAGCACCCACCTCTAGAATAGTGGGGATCTATCATTTACGTTTGATTTATTTTAGTGTGAATTGCTAGTCTAAGCTATCAACTGGTATCAGAGCGATAAGATTCGATGGGGGGAGCTTCCAAAGAAGCAGTAGCGGTGAAGAAGGTGGAAGAGCAAGTAGGGTTAATGCAAGTCCATCTTCAAACTCATGGGACGGATATCCAGGAAATGAAGCTAACGATGGATAGCCTCCTTCAAGGCCAAAACCGAACAAATCAACGGCAGGATGAACTGCAATCGACCTTGGACAAGGTTTTGGAGAAACTCGAGATTGGAGCAGGGGGAGGAAGAACCCAACCACCGGTGGTTCTCTCAGGCAACAATACTCCTTCTGGACCCACAGCAAACAAAAACAAGGGACTTGCGAGCTCTGTGGTTAGCGGTACGTTACCAGGCGGGGGAGGTTCTAGCGGACTTGGAGGGAACGGCGGCTCTGGGGGAAGCGGCCTTGTGTTTGGGACTCTCTACCAAACTAACAACAACACCAACGGTGGGAGGTACGAATTCCGGCATAGAAAAATTGACATGCCGGCCTTTGATGGGACGGATCCAGACGGATGGATTCTTCAGGCGGAGCGCTATTTCGCTATTTATCAACTCTTGGATGAAGAGAAGATCACCGCTGCCGTCCTCGCCCTTAGTGGGGATGCTTTGTCTTGGTATCGTTGGTCCAACCAACGAGCAGAGATTCGGACATGGGAAGTGATGAAAGAGATGTTCCTGAAAAGATTTCGCCCAATACACGGTGGCGATTTGTACGAGCAGTGGGCTGCCCTAACACAGACAGGGACGGCGGAGGAATACGTCAGGCGATTCATCGAATTGTCGGCTCCGCTGGAAGGATTAACAGAGAGGGTGGCGTTGGGAAACTTCATTGATGGACTATCGGATCAGATCAAGTCGGAACTACGACTTTGGACCCCCAGGGATCTGGGCCGTGCCATGGACTTAGCCCAACAAATTGAAGAAAGGAACAGGGCCTTATTCGCCAGCGGGTTCGGATTCCTGGGAATCCGGGGCAAACAAACCGGAGGGCGTAGTATTGGGGGAAATCCGACCCATTCTACAACTTTCTCTCACCCAGGAAAATCGGGGAGTAACGCTCGACCTCACCGAACACTGACTGAGGCTCAAATACAAGATAAGAGGAGCGGTGGTGTATGTTATCGTTGCGATGACAGGTGGTTCAAGGGACACGTCTGCAAATCACAGGTTAACGTGATTCTTGTAGATGAGGAAGAACAGACATCGGACGTTCCCCCTGACGAGGCCGACCCAGCTACTCTTGTTTCCACGGAAGTCAGCCCCGAAGTGGAAGTATCCCTCAACTCGGTAGCAGGCTTATCCTCCCCAAAGACGATGAAGGTTAGAGGGTCTATCGGGAATCAACCTGTGGTAACCCTAATTGACCCAGGGGCCTCGCACAACTTCATCTCTTCACATCTGGTCGCCACTTTGGGACTCCCAGTCGACGAGACAGAGCCTTACGGGGTGAGGATGGGAACCGGTGATAGCGAGAGGGGCAAAGGGGTTTGCAGAGGGATCTTACTTCACCTTAAGGAGCTCGACATCACTGAGGATTTCCTTCCCCTGCGTTTAGGAAGCTCCGATGTCATACTGGGAATGCAATGGTTAGAGACCCTTGGGGTGACTAAAACAAATTGGAAAGAGCAGACCATGGAATTTGATGTTGGAGGAAGGAAGGCTAAAATCGAGGGGGACAAATCTTTGGGAAAATCCCTCATCTCTCTCAAGGCTATGACGAGGACGATTGGGAAGGAGGGCAACGGCGTATTTCTCGAGCTCTGCAACACGGAGGTAACCTCAGACATTCCTGAACCTGTCCCTAAATTCTTACAAGATCTAATACAAGAATTTGAGGGTATCTTCCAAGAACCAACTGGCCTACCCCCTCCCCGATCTTTGGAACACCAGATTGTCATTAAAGATGGGACAGCTCCAATAAGCGTTCGCCCCTACCGGTACCCCCACTATCAAAAAGACGAGATTGAAAGGATGATCAAGGAAATGTTGCAGGCTGATGTGATTCAGCCCAGCAATAGTCCCTATTCCAGCCCGGTCATCCTAGTGAAGAAAAAAGACGGGTCCTGGAGATTCTGTGTGGACTACAGGGCCTTAAATCGAGCTACTGTCCCCGATAAATTCCCTATCCCTGTAATAGATGAGTTGTTGGATGAACTTCACGGATCAGTCATTTTCAGCAAACTCGACTTAAAGTCGGGGTATCACCAGATCCGGGTTCGAAGGGAAGATGTCCCCAAAACCGCGTTCCGAACACACGACGGACATTACGAGTTCAAAGTAATGCCATTTGGTCTTACTAACGCCCCGGCCAATTTTCAAGCGCTTATGAATGATGTATTTCGTCCCTACCTAAGGAAGTTCATTTTGGTTTTCTTTGACGACATTTTAATCTACAGCCCGAGTGAGGATTTACACCGAGAACATGTGCTCACGGCTTTCCGAAAGTTAAAAGAGCACCAACTCTTTGTGAATTTCAAGAAATGTGAGTTCGGGAAGAGGAGACTAACGTATTTGGGGCATGTGGTATCAGCTGAAGGGGTGTCCGCGGAAGACAACAAAATCCAAGCAATGCAGGATTGGCCTACCCCGTGCAACCTCAAGGGGCTCAGGGGATTCCTCGGACTCACCGGGTATTACCGGAAATTTGTACGAGGGTATGCCAACACAGCCAAACCCCTCACTGAACAGTTAAAAAAGGACAAATTTGGCTGGAATGAGGAAGCCCACGATGCATTCTTACAACTGAAAAAAGCCATGACCACAGTCCCAATGTTAGCTATGCCTGATTTCAACAAAACCTTTGTGGTGGAGACGGATGCATCCGGTCATGGTCTGGGGGCCGTGCTGATGCAGGAAAACCGACCGATAGCCTACTACAGTTCCACCTTGGGTGTTCAAGCTCGCCTCAAATCTATTTACGAGAAAGAACTCATGGCGATTGTCATGGCAGTCCTCAAATGGCGACCCTATCTGTTGGGAAGAAAGTTCGTGGTGCGCACCGATCAACTGAGTCTCAAATACATTCTGGAATAGCGGATGGTGGGGAGTGATTATCAAAAATGGATTTCGAAACTCATGGGTTTCAATTTCGATATACAGTACCGGCCAGGAGCAAGCAACCGTGTGGCGGATGCTCTATCGCGAAAGGAGAACCAGCTGGATTGTAACTCCATTTCCGTGGGGGCCTGGAAGTTTTGGGATCAACTGAAAGAAGAGATGGGTCGGGATGAATTCATACAAAAGGTTAAGGCTGACTTGGAGCGGGATGTGGAATCCCACAAAGGTTACTCCACATACCAAGGTAACCTTCTGTTCAAAGGAAGGCTGGTGGTTCCCTCCTCGACAGCCCTCTTACCCGATATTCTAGCCATGTATCACGATTCTCCAATCGGGGGGCATGCGGGGGAAAAGAAAACCTACATGCGAGTAGCAACGGAACTGTTTTGGCCGGGAATGCGCACCACCATCATGGAATACGTGAGGAACTGCAAGATTTGTCAAACCCACAAAACTCTCAATATGTCCCCGGCAGGGCTGCTCCAACCCATTCCTCTTCCGACGCAAATATGGGACAAGTGACCATGGATTTTATTGAAGGCCTTCCGAAATCAAGTGGCTGGGACACTATATGGGTGGTGGTTGACACGCTCACAAAGTATGCCCACTTTGTCCCTCTCAAACATCCCTTCACAGCGACTGCGGTTGCCACGGAATTCATCAAAGAAATTGTAAGGTTGCACGGTTTTCCCTCTTCTATTATCAGCGATAGAGACCGAATCTTTGTGAGCCAACTCTGGAGCGAGATGTTCCGTTTACATGGGGTACAACTGAAGAAAAGCACGGCCTACCACCCTCAAACAGACGGGCAGTCTGAAGTGGTAAACCGTTGTCTGGAAACTTACTTGCGATGTTTTTGTTCAGAAAAACCCAAGAGTTGGGCAAGTTGGCTTTCATGGGCAGAGTTATGGTATAACACTTCTTACCATTCCTCCCTCAATTGCACCCCGTTCAAGGCCCTGTATGGTCGTGACCCACCTCCCATCCTCCGTTACGAAGGACAACACACTACTATGGATACAATCGATCAATTTCTGGAAGATCGGGATGCCATCCTGGATGACCTTCGAGTGCATTTGATCAGGGCTCAACAGAAAATGGTTATGCAGGCCAACAAGCATCGTCGAGAAGTGGAGTTCAACGAAGGAGATAAGGTCTACGTGAAACTTCGCCCATACCGACAACAAAGTCTTGCCAAGAGGAAGTATGAAAAATTGGCTCCTAAATACTATGGACCCTATCGCATTAGCCAACGGATTGGGAAAGTAGCCTACAAGTTGGTCCTTCCTCCAACAGCTACCATCCATCCTGTGTTTCATGTGTCTCAATTGAGGGCAGTCCATGGCGAGCCTACTGTTAGCAATGACCTGCCTCCACAACTCAGTACAGATATGGAACTCATCCTCCAACCATTATTGCTTCGTGGGGTACGGAATGGAAAGGGCAAGGACCAAGGAAAAGAAGTTCTGATTAAGTGGAAAGGGCTGTCAGAAGCTGAAGCCACTTGGGAAGATTTTAACAAGTTCCACCTCCAGTTTCCAGAATTTAACCTTGAGGGCAAGGTTCGAGTTTGGGAGGCGGGTATTGATAGGCCCAAGGACGTCCATGTCTACAAAAGGGGAAGGAACAAACCTCATCAGCCCACTCCATCTTAGTCCTTTTCTGCAGCCCAAGCTTGTTTATCATTTCTTTTTGTTTTGTCGGTTAGTTTGTGGTCCCCGTCGTGGTTATGCCCCTTCCACCACGTTTTTGTCTGTGGGGATCCTTCTAGTGGGGAGCAGGGTCTGTGTTTTATCCTATTTTGTCTCCAGTTGTCTTATATATAGTCCTGGAGGATCTTTTGTTTTGGTATGTTGAAATCAATGAAACAGTTCTTATGAACTTGGGAGAGCACCCACCTCTAGAATAGTGGGGATCTATCATTTACGTTTGATTTATTTTAGTGTGAATTGCTAGTCTAAGCTATCATGGAATCTTGAAATCCAACACCACCAGATACAAATAAAAAAAACCAAACACTATAAAATCTTGAAATATAATTATAATTATAATACAAAATAATTTTAGTTATTTTTAGGAAAAGAAATAATTTAATTAAAGTTTCGTGATTTTCTTAAAAAGATTATCATTATTAAATATTATATAAGTAAATATGATTTATAATTATAATATAAGTTTACATAACATTACACCTCGTGAAGAAAAAGAAAAAAAAAAAAAACCCACAAACAACTAAGTAATAACTCAGGGTAGATTATGATCTGTGGACATTTAAACACTATGTAAGATAAAAAGCATCACAAAATTAAGTAATATAAATTGCAAATAATCAAATCAAAGTAAGAAAACCGACCTGTAGTATATGACTTTCATGTTGCTTTGCATATTTTCCACATTAAAAGTTGGTATCTCATTTTCATTTGATTTCTTTCCAGAATCATCATGGCCAGCCATAACCTCCGCCTTTTGTAATTTTTATGACAAAAAGAATAATAAAAATATATAAATCAGACATACATTACAGCCAAAACTCACTTTTCTTTAAACCAACAAGCAAATCCAAACAACCATTTAGTAATTACTATTGATGTGGAATATATATATAAATAGTGAAATCGATTTGAAGTGATTTAAACCCCAAAATAAATAAACATTTACGTGATCTTTTTTTTCCTAAACAACTATAAGTTAAGAACAAGCACAATATGTGATTAGTGTTTATGACAATGAGCAAATAAGTAATTTAAGTTTCAAATTTTGCCAAATAATAATATTGTGTGATATGTGGATACAAAGATTCAAAGATACTAACAAGGTAAGGACACTCATACTTCAGTTAACATCTATGAGGGTTATGACACTTAATAGTTTTACCTCATGCCCAATATTTTACTTACACTATTAAAGAGAAAGAATTTGTGTTTATTGCCTCGTCATTCTTTCTCTTTAAGACAAGAATTAAGCTATACTCCAGATTTTTCACCATAGTTTCTAAATTGTGAATTGTTAATTTGTTATTGAATTGGGTATTGGGTCACTAACACTTTTATCCTATTGAAGAACAACAAGAGTGTGATGCACTTTGAGTATATCTCATATTCGTATGAATGGAATAATAATAATAATAATAATATAACTCAATTGATCGGGTAAATTTGAAGAACAATGGGGAAGTGGAACAGATATAAATTCAGTGTTCCAGATCTTATTTCAACTCTTGCAAATCAGCATACACCAAGAAACCCTAAACTACAAATCGAGAAAGTTAAAAGAGTAACCATTATGATGTTCCATATCCTATTTTAAGTCCGACAAATCAGTATAAACAAAGGAACCCTAAACCTAAAACTGAAGAAATCAAACGAGAAGGACGAGAGAATGACTCAACACAGTGTGCCGAATATTATTTCAGCTGTTTAATCACACAGGGAAGAGCAACGAAATATGATACCTTGAGCAAGGATGTACTTGATTGCACGGCAGGGACTTGAGCGAAGAAGACGATGATCGAACGTAAATTGAAATGAAGAACAACGAACGTATCGGACTGTTTATTGGCGAATATGACCCGTTTGCAGTTGGACCACCCAAGCCGAAAATGGTAAAAATAAATGGCCCAATTTCACCCACCCAGTTTGTTTTTTGGGCTTGGGCCAAGTTTATACTTTACGAGTATTTATTATTATCATATATTCATATTTAGATTTAGAGTAGAATAATGAGTCGGTCATGTTTATCGAATCAATTGTAAATGAAAACGTGTTTGATTTCCAATAAATTTGGAGGAATTTAAAGTAGGATAATGAGTCAGTCATATTTATCGAATCAATTGTAAATGAAAATGTGTTTAATTTCCAACGAATTTGGAGGAATTTAAGGTAAAATTTAAGTTTGATTGAAAATTAAATTTTTTTAGATTCTATTAAATTCTGTATCATTATTTTGCAACGATTTTAGATTCATTTGTTATGACCAAGTAAGGTTTGATCACAACTATGTTCCATTTCCCTAAAATCAAGTATGTTCCGTCATCCGTAACTTCTTTGATTATGACCAATCATAACAAATATTTAAACATTATATAAATGTTTTAAATATCACTCATACGAATTGACAAAGACTAATAAAATTATTCAACACATAGAAGTGTTCGATCGATTCATTGATTTGAATTTAACGTTTTGCCAATGAAAAGTTCTAATTCAAACTTACATGTTGTTGTAGTATTGTTGTCACTTGGCATTTACTTTTATCTATACATCAAGTCACTTTAATTATTTTGATCTTACAAAATGTTGATTTTGATTATCGATCTTATGTTAAACCTTAAATTAATTTGCAATTAGGAGTTGATTTGATGATGATAGATACATGCATGGAGAGATCAAAATGGTGTAATTATAAAATTATCCTTAAACTACACAAATATATAGCATAGGCTAATGATCTAAGGATCAAAGCAAAGTCGTGGTGTTTAAAACATCTCAAAGTTTATTGAAAAAAAAAAGGTGAAGCCTCTACTACAAAGATATATCAAAAGTGTTAATCTATTTGTTTCCAGTCTTCAAGTATCTTTTAGCAAGTGCTCCATTACCACCATTAGGGTAAAAGCCACCTGGGACATGTTCTTTTCCGGTTCCATACACTATTCTTAGTATTTCTCGAGGAGATCGAGCATATGCCAATGAATCTTTATCACCTGCAAGTATGTTCCCTTGTGTCTTCTTTTCTGCCCCAATATCACTTGCCACTTTGAGGCCTTCGTCCTTTAGGCCATTGTTACCTAGTTTGTTTCGTAGTTGTGAGATTTTATGTGTGAACTCGGCTACAGACATTCCATATGGAACTACTTTTTCCTTCGCTCGTTCATAAAGAAGGCTTCTGATGACAGCATCTTGACCTGATTCTACTCCCAGTAATCCTGCTACAAGCTGCTCGATCATCGTTTTCATGATTATCAGTACACATTCTTTATGATTCAGGATTTTCATTGCAAAATAACCATCTTTTTTTGTATAAGAACGTCAAAAAGAAAATTTCTATAGTTTCTATATGAATTAATGATATGTTAAAACAAGTTGTAAAAAATATGAATGCAGGAAAGCCGTTATTTATTGCAAAATAGTTTACTTTTTCTTACACGAGTACGTAACGGGTTATGTGCACCAAATAAAAGCATGCATGATGATTCAAAATCAATCACTTTAAATTTTAGGTTAATCGTTTTGCTATTTTTTATCATTTAAACAATAGTGTTTAGACATTAATCTTATAGTTTATTTGATAATTCAATTGACATGAACCCACGCGTTATATACAATTATATATAAACTTTTTTATTAAATATTATTTTAACCATGATTAGTTTTAGTACTTTAAAACAATTCATTTGTTATTTAATTGTTGTTCAATATAATAATTAACCAATTTTTTCAACGGTACTAGTGTTCAACATGCAACCTAATATATCTATTTGTTAATTTTGAGAATCACGTTAAATGTAAAAACTTAAAAAATGCCGAATAAACTAAAATATGTCCATTTTTTTAAATAATTGAAAATTTTTTAACCATAGTGTTTGAGTAATCCAAAAGTTCAACTAAACTTAAAAATGCCAAAAAAACTATTTTTTAGAAATTTGAAAAAACATCCAAATAAGTAGTTTTTAAGCTAATTAAGAATTACATTACAAATAATTAAATATAATAGTGAAAATATATTTAACTCAAATTTGTATACAATTGAAGTAATATTAAACAATGATTCGGGTAAGAAAAAACAATCTTGATTGAATTTCAAAAATGACCATGTAAATAGGTACATAAATTAAACAACAATAAAAATGCTTAAAAAATATTAAATAAAAAATTATATAACGTTATGACTTATAGGGGGGAGCCGTGGTGGGCTGCCAGGAACTCATTTTTTCACATCGAAACATCTTTTATAAAGTTTATAATATAAATATAGATTTATAAAAACTATATATTGTTGTGATTTGTTTTAGATAACATAGCTTGACAAAATTATTTTTCTTTCTTTAGTTTACATGTATTTATATTAAATAACATATAACATGAAACGGAAAGATTAATACCTTTCGAGAAACTGGGCTTTGAAGCTTTGGATTTGTTCCAACATATCCCGTAAGACCAACATAAGGGATCACATAACACGAAATAAGATAATTGATGTCATTCGCATATGGATCAAACGGGGGAGATAAAGGTTTTCCAAATGCATCATTTATAACGGTTGCAAACGACTCTGAACTTAGATTCAAGAGTGGTCTTGCAAATCCCTCTACCACCTTCTTGATTGCCCTAAATTCATAAAACCAATAATCAATATCAATAAATAAAAAAAAAAAATTAAAGAACATGCATATATAATCAAAATATTAGAATGCATGCATGTGTATACCATGTAAAAGAAGATATATAATTAATTAACAAACCTTAGGTGGCCAATTTCTTGATACGCAAATTGAGTGATTATATCTTTAATAACCGGACTCAGATTCGCCTGCTTTGCACCGACAGGTGGTGGGCCGCCTGCTGCGATATTCGGTTCTACGCTATCCAAGCCTTTACCCATGGATCCATACAAAAAGTATTCAGCTTCAAAATACTCTAAATTTAAAGGGAATTCTAAAAGGTTTGTGTCGTATTTGAGTAATTCGCATTCTGAACTCACGAGGGTAGGGGTGAAGAGGAAAAGAAGGAGTGACGTCGTTATGATCATTCTACTAGTGATGGTGGTGGTGGAGAAGGATAGCATGGCAGGCTGATGATGCAGAGGGGAAATTAAGAATATATGTTGTATGTGATTTTTGAGTTTCGTGTTATGTTTGCATCATTTTTATAGGCATTTAAGTAGTGAAATGATGGGAGTGATGACACTTGACAGAGTTTGGACATGCCACGTTGAAATTAGATTTGGACCAAGGAAAAGGAATAAGAGAATTTCAAGTTCATCTCTCTTCAACCCAAACCGATTGAAAATTTAATTTTGTTGCATAATAACTTTGACTTTTAGCGATAAATAGTACTCATAATGACGCGTGTGTGTGTATATATATATATATATATATATATATATATATATATATATATATATATATATATATATATATATATATATATATATATATATATATATATATAAAAGCTAAGATCATTTGTAAATAGCATTTATTTCTTCTCTCTATTCTAATAAAAGAATAATTTTAATCTAATTATATGATATATTAGGCAAACATTTCAAAATTCAAATTTACTTGACATAATTATATGTTAAATTTAAAGTTATAACTACATTAAAAGTTTGGTATATCTTTTAATTAATAATTTATTTAAAATGCTTTATTTAAAACAATTGATTAATAATTATTAATTTTTACTACAAAAGTTTAATTAATTTTGTAACAGTGGTTTCCACAAGTTATAAACTAGTTATGTAAATATATAACATAATTCTAACCATTAGATTTAGAAAATCTAATAGCTTGTTCCCGAGATCCACTTACGGAGAGAAACGGAGAGAAATCGAGGGAAGGTGAGGGAAATCGAAGGAAACCCGCGTTCCCGAGTTTAATTGATCGAAGGAAAGTGAAGGAAAGGGACGGATTTTGGAGATTGATTTTCCTTCCAAATTTTCCTCCCAAATTGGGCGGAAACGGGAAGAAAATTGGAAGCGGATCATGCCTTATCTTCATATGGACCATTATACCCTCAACCCTATTTATAAAATATCATGTAGCCGCACGTCCCATACACAATCGTCTTGCTCAAGTTCGCGCCATATTCTGATCAGGTACGTTTCTTCTTCATCCTCCCTGTACGTTTCTTATTCATCCTCCATGTACAGTCTTTTTCTTCTTCATCTTCTACTTGCATGACCTTCCCATTGTGTTAACGATGCAAACATGCTGATCAGTTAATGTTATTTTAATACAAATAAGTTTGATTCGGTGTTATGCTTTAATGTATGTTAATGCTGTGTTTAATACATCTTCTGCACAATGATAATCAGTTTCATATCATCACCTAAGTTAAGTGTTATGAGTTATGACCCAATTACCTAAATAAAAAACAAAACTATTGTATTAAAAAGAACACCAGATCATATTTCACGATTGTGTTAGTAATCATATATAGATTTGTAAACAAGTACATGTCAAATTTTAATTATGAAACTCCAAAATAAAAGAAAATATCTAAAGAACAACTATGCTGCTATAATGGAGACATAAAATCTAAATATGAGCATTATATAAAGTTGAAATAGATCACATATATAGTTTATAAGCTAGCAGGACACAACCAAAGTCTTATTCATTCTTAAAATCGAAGAACGTGAAAAATCATTGAAATTAATAAATTTTCAAAGTTGGAGTGAATTGGATTATGCAATTATATGTATATGAACAATATGCATAATTTTTTTAGGATTTGATGTTGATGAATAATAATCTTAACTTTTCATCAGTTAATGTACCCTTTAATGCATGTGAATGTTTGTGTTTGGACGTTTTTTTTTTCATTAATTGATTTATAGTCTTTTGCATTGATGTTATGTTTAATACTCATCCTTTGTTTATGTGTAAACACCATTATATGTTGAATGCCTCATCCTTTTCATCAGTTAATGTACCCTTTATTATTTTTTTCTTTCAATTCTTGCAATTAACCAATTACTATTCACTGTAAAGTATAATAACTTTGGACCAATGTTGAATGCCTCACAATTGACGAGTCTTGAGATTCCTTAATATATTATTGTATATGTTGTTTTTTTTTAATGCCAAGTTCTTTGGCAAGATCATTTTGGGTTATTACATATGTTCTGCAGCAGTAAAATTAAAGTAAGATCAATAACCTTTATGCATAGTTGTAAACTTCAAAGTGGTCCAAGAGATAGCATATGAGCTGACTTCGAGTTCAAATTCACATAGCTAATGAGATTTTTCTTCTTTTTCTTGATTAAATGAATTTTTAGTATTAGGAAAGTGCCATGACCAGTCAAGACGATGATGGGGAAAAAAGACGAAGGCTAGTGGTTACTGTGATGTTCATGGCCATTATAATACAACGTAGACTTTCGAAAAAAAATAACCATAATTTACTTAGTAAGGAAGAACTATTAAAGCGTCAACTTGAACGAGAACGACTATTACACAAACTTATTAAAGGTGGGAAATGTCGTGAGCTCATTCGTGTGAGTGAAGAAGCTTTTAGAAAGTTGTGTACTATCTTACAACGTGATGGTGGACTGCGACCTACGCAACGCATGTCTGTTGAAGAACATGTTGCAAGGTTACACATCTTAGGTAACGATATGAGAAATACAATGGTTTCCTTCATTTATGGGCGTGCTAAATCTACAACAAGTAGGTGCTTCCATAGAGTTCTTCGCGCGGTTGTAGCACTAGAAAGTTACTACATTCAACAACCTAAAGGTGATGTGGTCCCGAAAGAAATTCAAGAGAAAAAGAGATTTTATCCCTACTTCAAGAATTGTGTAGGGGCAATTGACGGGACACATGTTCGTGTAAAAGTACCCAATAGAGATGCCCCTAGATATCGTGGTCGCAAGGGTTACCCTACCATAAATGTCTTAGCCGCATGTTCATTTGATTTGAAGTTTACGTACGTTTTAACTGGGTGGGAGGGCACTGCCTCGGACTCAAGGATAGTGAAAGATGCACTTAAAAGAGACGATAAGCTACTAATTCCTAGGGGTAATTTTTGTTAACTAATTTAATTTTGTGTGTAGTCTTTTATTAGAAAACTAATTACATGTTATTTATAGGCCGATATTGTTTGGTAGATGCTGGTTTGCCTCATACCATTGAACTAATGACACCATATAAAGGTGTCAGGTATCATTTGAAAGAGTATTCTGCTCACCCCCCAGTTAATGCAAAAGAGTTGTTCAATCTTAGACATGCTTCTTTACGTAACGCAATAGAACGGTCGTTTGGTGTTGTAAAAAGAAGGTTCCCAATCGTTAGAAGTTCACAAGAACCTTTTTACTCTTGCGAAACACAATCGGACATTTTTGTGGCATGTTGTATCTTACACAATTTTTTACTAGACGAGGATCGTGATAAAAAACTTGAACATGAAGTCTTACAAGAGGTGTTGGATGAACAACCACAACAAGTGAGACATGATGTTAATAACGGACGTGTGCGTAGTGATGGGGCTGAGGAATTGAGGAACGCTATTACAACTCAAATGTGGAATGATTACTTGTTGAAACCAAACAATGAAATAGATATGTCTAATTAGTTTTATAGTAGATTAACGATTTATCAGTTTTATTTCATTCTGTTAATTTAGTTTAATTTTGTAGTGACATTTGCAATTTCTTTTTTTTGATGGTGTTATTTAAATTATGAGCCCTTTCTTTTTTATAAATATTTGTACAATTTTTAATAATGTATTTCTGGTTATCTTATCTTTGTATGTACAGAGCAATCATGAACAAAAGGGCAGCGGATGGAAGTGTTGTGAAAAAAGAAAATTTGACATGGACAGATAATATGGACAATGCTCTAGTTGAAGCTCTTGTAAAGGAAGATGATATAGGTAATCGGGTGAATGGTACATTCACTTCGCAAGCATATGCGAACATGATTGCAGGGTTGAGTAAAGAGTTTAACAAGTCTATTACAAAAGATCAACTTAAAAACAGAATGAAAACTTTAAAAGGTAATTTTAGTAAATGGTATGATATGTATCGGGGTACTTCGTTGAGTGGGTTCTCATGGAATTCTCAAACAAAACACATTGAAGCAGAGGATGAAGTATGGGAGCAATTAATTAAAGTATGTGTTGGTTTTACGTTTGATTCATTGTTTTATATAACTTTTTTACCATTAACTTTACTAATTAATTTTTTGGTTTGTTTATAAACAGGCTAACCCTGAAGCAGCTGCATTCAGGACCAAAAAGATTTCAAATTACAATCAGTTGGAGATGTTATTTTCAGATGATAGAGCATCGGGATCAAAAGCGGAAACAGCAAAAGAAAAAAATGCCCGATTAAGCAAATCCAAGGAAATTAAAATAGAAAAAATTGCTGATGTGGAAAAACTAATGGCAAATAAGGAGGTAAGTTTGGAGAACGTACACAAAGATGATGATGAGGACATTCAAATAGTGTCAGTAACAGATGTTTCACCTGATGGAAGTTCAAAAGCAAAGAAGCTGAAGAGTAAAAAAAGAAAACTAGAAAGCAAATTTCAAGATGAAGATGAAGTAGTAGTTGAAACTGAACCTAAACCTCAACCTCAACCAGAATCTTTTGAACACAATATTGTGCAAACATTTAAAGAAATCGTTGATGTTATGAGGGAAGGGAACAAATCTCGTGACTATACAGGTGAGGAAATCGAGAAAGAGTTAGAGTTGATGGGTTTGGATGACGATGAATTTGCGGATGCTTTCATATATTTATCACGTAATCAAGCCGATGCTAGGACAATTTTTAGTTCTTCAATGAGGATGAGGAATATATTTTTAAGAAAGATGATGTGTGAAGCTAAAAATTGAATCATATCTTTAGGTTTTATGGGATTTGTTTTTTGTTTTTTTACAGTAGGTTGCATTGGACTTCATTTGTAAGAGGGGGAATTTTGATTTTCTGGGTATTCATTGTTGAATTGAGTTTATTTCATTAGTTGATAGTTTGATTAAATGTTTTTGATTGATTTTGATTTGCAGTTGTAGTTTATTCATATTGTTTACATGTTCTTAACATAATGTGTAAATAGGGGTATAATTGTAATCTTCTTATTTTCTTCTCTTTTCCCTCCTAACTCGGGAACACATAAACTAAAAATTTTACTTTCATTTCCTTCGAACTCGGGAACACGGATTAAATAAAATTTTCCTTCCCCTCCCTTTCCTTCCGTTAATATTTTCCCTCCTTTTCCTTTAATGAATTTACAAAAAACTCGGGAACAAGGCGTAAGTGTTATGATTATCAATGGCATGATGGTAACTAAAAGTGATATAATTAACTTTTTTTAATTTTAAATTATTTAAAAGGGTAAACTGGACTTTTTGTATATAATTAAATAAGGAAGACCCGGCTTTTTGGAATATTTTCATGTATCATATCTCCGATAACAAAACAAACATTCTTATGAGAATTGATTCTTGTAAGAATGCACCTTTTTATAATTTGACATTTTCATAAAAAAATGAACAAAAATTAAAGTGCAAAGGTGTTATTCTTATGAGAATTAACATAAATTATAAATACGCAAATAACATTCTCATAGTCATATAAATAAAAGAAAAAAGAATATATATTACAAGTGAAAAATTGGAATTCTCGTAAGAATGAACATGAATTACAAATGGAAACTAAAATTCTTATGAGAAAAACATAAATTACAAATAAAAAAATTGAATTATTCCTACCTCTACATTATCATCTTTAGACTCAACATTCAAGAATTACTGAAAATTTTACATCAAAACAATAAGAATCATCAAATAAAATGTAACCATTCTGAAAAGAATGAGTATTGCTGAATGCAGACATGTCTTTACCTTCATTGGAGAAGCCACTAATGTCATGTCTTCAACAGTCTCCTTGCTAGTGAATTGAGCACACAACTACTAACACATCACAAGTCAAACATAAATTTGTAAAACTTATATATAGATAAATCCATGTGTTCCAGATAAGAAGTTAGATAATCATATTTAGTCTTAAATTTATAATCTTCGACATCTCTAATTTTACCCTTCATTTGAAGATGGACACATACCTTGCCAACCAAGTGGATCACTGCGATAGGAGTAATACTAAAATAGTTATATAATCACTTATAATTTTCTAAACTTCATATAAATTAATGATATAATTATCACTTGGTGATTTATCTATATAAATCAACTTTCATTTATTTACTTTGTTAATTTAAGAACATGGTCTTAAATCTTAGGATGTTACGTAAAACACTCCAAGGACATTCAACAATGATAAAGTTGCAAGCTTTATCTAGAGTTCTTCCGTGTAGCCCTTCGAAAATACCCGATACCCGAATTACCCGCCCGATTTTTTCGGGTATCGGGTAAATTTTTCCGGGTAATCGGGTTACCCGATTTTTTTCGGGTCGGGTAAAGGGTACATTTTTTGGGTTTCGGGTATACCCGAATTACCCAAATTATTTTAAAAATTCATTTTTTTTTGTAGAGCTTGTACTATATAATAGGTATTTGATCACACTTAAACTAATATCATTATTATAAAACATAAATATATTTATTATGACAATACGACACTAACAATATTAAAAGTAATTTTTATATATCATCACGTTCTTTAAAACTTAACTGTTTTCTATATTATAGTTTTTATTACAACTAACAAACTCATTATTTTGACGAAACTTTAGAACTTGACAAAACTTAGGACTACATTTATCTTAAACATTTTAAACTTTTAAATTAAGATCTTTAGGTATTTGTTTTTTTAACATCTTATTAGATTAGATTAAGTCGTTAAAAAAATAATTGATATCTCATGTATTATTGAGTAGAAAATCTCAATGTTCAAAGCTTGAGTAACTTTGTTTATGTCTCGTTTGTTTATATAAACAAGACTAATAAAGCACGACGTATTTATTTCATTAAATTTATTTTTAGGTGAAATTCAAAAAAAAAATCATATATTTCGGGTAATACCCGAATTACCCAAACCCGACCCGATACCCGAATTACCCACACCCGAATTACCCGAATTTAGTTTGGGTAGGGTAACGGGTAATTTTTCTAACATGAAAAACCCGAATTACCCGAAACCCGAAAAAATTACCCGTTCAACACCCCTACTTCCGTGAACTCTAACCAAAACCACAAAAAGGACTCAAAGACCATAATATGAAAGATTGAATCATAAAGTTGGGAGCTTAATGACTTAAAAAGGTCCACAAGATGCACAAGAGGCTAGATCTCTTCTAAAAACACTCACACGAGTTCCAAAAAATGATGAACTTCCTTAAACACTCCCAAAATGGCACCTACAGGAAGCAAAAGGATGGAGGATGAGGAAATGGAGGCTAGGGTTTCATTCTTTAGAGGATATGAGTTGATCTCCAGAAACCCTAATAGTTAGAGATGCTTAAATAGTGACCAAACCTGAAATCTACGGTTTTGTGCAAACAACGGCGTTACGTTCATCGTAGCACATACCTACACTCAATATAGCTCAGACCTGCGCTTAGTGTAGGAGCAGAATCTCAAAATTCCTCATCTAACTGTAACAAAGGGCATCTCGAGAAATGGGTGTTACATAAGGGGCATAACACCCTTTATGTGGGGTTAAGGGGTAAAACCCCTTATAGTGGTCATTTGGAAAGTTTTAAAATATGACCGTTTGTTTTAAGTCAGTTTTGGGTAACTTAAGATATATATGAGTCGGTTTTAGGAAACCTAAGATCTATATGAGTCATGATCTAGGTATTGTGGTGGAAGGAGACTTAAATCTTGAGCTTGTAGATTTAAAGACAAACACACCAAGGTGATGACAACATAGAAGTTGATGTTGTACTCAGCTTCAACTGACCTTCTAGCTGACTGATGAGAAGGTGACAAACTAAAGAGAATAAGAGATTGTATGGTGTTAGGTTTACGAGAAATATATACCATAGAAGGAAGTTAATTCGTTGATCTGGGTTAAAGTGAAAGACTGTTGAGTTGTAGAGATTGATTGCTTATGACGGGTGTCAAATGTATCTCATGTCGGAAATTGTAAAGATGAAGAATTTAAATATCAAACCAAGGGTGATACTATGTTTTAGTGTCTCGCATTGTCTAGACATATTTTTATTTGTTTATACCTTGTAAATTTTTTGTTTTGAAATCAATAATAAATCTCTAGTTCTTTGTAAACTACATAAATCTTTTGGCGTCTTTATTTTTCTTTGTATTTTTTAATTTCTACTAGTTCAATTAGTGAAATACCTTCGTTTCGCATAATTTTTTATGTTATTCTTTTGCACAATTACATCATCTTTGCTGGAAAAAAAAATCTTTTTTTTTTTATTTTAGAACTTAAAAATATTTTTCATGTTATCTTATTATTTTGTGATAAATGTTGTAAGCATGGTAATTAATAAAATCTTGCCATTTTGATATTTTTTGTAATTAGCTCTTTTACAAGTGTAATTCCTAAACTGTTGCATGAACTTCACCATAAACGTTTCACTCACATCATTAGAAAAAAAAAAAATCGTATATAACATTTGACATGATTATTTGTAAATGTACCTTATTCAATGTGCAAGGGTTACAATAAGATCAAATCATCGATTCAACGAAAATTGGGGGAAAACATAGCTATATTTTCACTAGAGTATATCAACTTATCAAACACATTAGATTTGAAAAGTCAAAAGTATGAATCTTTTATATGAACAAAGGGTCTCAAGCCTTAACTGTTGGTTCATATCATAACAAGAAAAAACTAAAATGATAATTTTTTTATCAGTTAGGACCAAACGCCACTGTAACAAGTAACAACAAAAGAGTCATAGCAAAGATTCTTAGAGGATGTTCAAACTTAATTTTCTTGTATTGTTTGCAACATGCATGTCAAAGGGAAATGCCAAATGGGATATTTAATCAAAAGTTTTCACCATGTGTAATGTTTCACTTAATTTGGTTGCTTTTTCACTAAACTATATTAAGATTAAATTCAACACATTTGACTTTAATAGTCAAAACTACCATCGGTCTCAAAAAAAAAAACACTTATAAAGCTTCTTGGTTCATATAACAACAACAAACAAAAACTTAAAACATAAACACATAAATCAACAATGTCCCAAGAACAAGAACAACTATCGAGTAACTTTCCCAGATTTTTCAAGTTTTCTTGTTCCTCCAACCTTTAAACTTGCAGGTTTGCGGTTTCCATGATCACCTAAATCCTCATCCTCATCAACATAAATGATACCCGTATCATCACCATCATCCGTATTCGTTACATCTTCATCTTCATCATCATCATCATATTCTTCATCATCATCATCATTGTCATCCATGTCAGCACGAAGAGTGTGAAATTCAGGTGGGGGGATGCATTCCTCAGTGACAGCTTCATCTTGTTTCATGACAAGGTGGCGGATGATTCTCTCATCTTTATCAAGCAAACTCTTGAATTCATTGATCCATTTTGCTTCAATCTCAAAGTTCATCAAGATGTAATGCGCGTTTTTTGCTTTTTGGATTTTGTATGCGAGTCTTCGGAGTCCCCAGTCACTGAATCTATGAACTCGGCCCTTTTTCTCTGTTAGAAACTCTGCACAGAAAAAAAAAATGATACACATTTTGTTTGTTAAAAGTCAAAGCTACAGCAGAGTAATATATTTTGACTAATATTTGTTTGACAGATTTCATATATGGTAAGCTAAATAAAAAATTTTGAGTAGCAATGGATCACCTTGAATTTTAAGATTTACTTTCTCAACTTCTTCTTCAAAGTTCTCATGGATTAAATAGACCACTTCATAGTGTCGGTCTGCAAAGATAACATA